AAAATTTTTGAAAATAAAATAAGTGGTATGGATTTTATTTAGTATAGTATGAAAGTATAATTTTAGGTTGATTTGTTATAAAATTAAGGTGATATAATTCTCAAATTTTTGCATATTCATATAACTTGTCATAAGACATTGATGATAATTCGACAAATTGGTATGTATTCCTATTGAATATTAAAAGATCTTTTAACAAATATTTGTTAATAAAATTTAAAATTTGTTGTTTAATTTTATACAATTAGTTGATATGTTTTAGCGACAAGGTAATCGAAAACGAATCTAAAAAATTTTGAGATTACTAAAATATAGATATATATAAAATATATAAGGTGATTTATTATGTAGTCCATATTTGGATTTGGGTTCCAAATTTAAAATGCAAATATGTAACTATTCATCACTTACGGCTCAATATTAAATTGGACGTAAATAGAATAGTAATTATTTATAGTTTAATAAATACTCAACTACTTAAATTTTTAATTTGATTTTATACGAAAATAAATTTATGATAAATAAATGAAATAATATAAATTTTAATTTTATATTTATTATTCACATATATTTTTAAACTAGTACAATACTCGTGTACTACACGGGTACTTAAATATATTAATATTTGTACAATAAAAATTAAAACAATTTATACTTTTATTGTGAAATTATGTGATGAATACGCAACAATAATAAATAACTAACAAAGTGATAAGTAATTCAAATGGTACCCGTATTTTTACACTAAATTTATCAGAAATATATTTTTAAGATTATGACATGTTTAAAACTGATATTATTTACATCTTCATATATTTGATTTGCTTTTTAAACAAAACAAGTTTTATTGTATTGTGATTATATTTTCTATTTATAGAGTCAGTGTCTCACGCCAAACAATTTTTCAAGTATTTTAAATTCATATAACTAATAATTCAGAATTTATGTAGAAATGTATTATTTTCTAACTTTATGAAATATAAAATGATTTTATTATATCTAATTATGACATTATTTTATATTTCTATTTCAAATAACATAATAACATTAATTTTTTATATAATTTATTTAAATTGAGAAATTATATTTTATAATATTTCTTAAAATTTATTTTATGTAATACTTATTTTTATTTTTTAAAAAAATTTATGGAAATATAATAAAATAATTATTTTATGGTGTATTAATGAATTAGATTTTTATTATTTTTATAAAATAATTTATATTGTTTTTTATGTATTTTAAACTGAGTTCATAATAAAATTAATTTTATTTATAAATATAGATGAAATTATTATTTATTTTATATATGCAATATGAATGTCAAATCGAAGATCGTTAAAATATTGTTATTTCAGTAGATCATATATAAAAAATAAAATACAAATAAAAAGTTATAAAGATTTAAAAATAAAAAAAATACATATTTATAATAACTAATATTTGAATTAAATAAAAAAGGTAAGAGTATTATGTGGTAACTTAAGAAAAAAAGAAAGCTAAATTTGTTATGGTAATTCACAAGCCTAGTGGTCAAAACCAAACTTGAACATGTATCAATACGAAGCACTAGATTATGCTAAATAAGCTTACGAAGCACACCAACCTGCCACTTAGGCTCAGGGCATTCGAAAATTACATATAGGGGCGATTATTCACCTATATTTTTAAATTAGTACAATACCCGTGAACTACACGGGTACTTAAATATATTAATATTTGCACAATAAAAATTGAAATAATTTATATTTTTATTGTGAAATTATGTGTGATGAATATGCAACAATAATAGATAACTACCAAAGTGATAATTAATTCAAATGATGCCCGTATTTTTACACTAAATTTATCAAAAAATATATTTTTTAATTATATTTTTAAGATTATACATGTTTAAAACTGATATTATTTTCAACTTCATATATTTGATTTGCTTTTTAAACAAAATAAGTTTTATTGTATTGTGATTATATTCTTTATTTATAGAGTCGGTGTTTCACGTCTATCAATTTTTCAAGTATTTTAAATTCATATAATTATTAATTCAGAATTTAGGTAGAAATGTATTATTTTCTAACTTTATGAAATATAAAATTATTTTATTATATCTAATTATGATATTCTTTTATATTTACTATTTCAAATAACATAATAACATTAATTTTTTTAAATTTAGTTTTCAAACATGTGGGGCGAATACAATATTAGTTAGATTGGGAGAGAATCATATTCGTGTAATTCAAAGTTGTACATTTGTGATCAAACTGATCTATTAATGAAAGAGCATGACGCTCCTCGAATACATATTTATTTTTATATTGCTTTCGCTTTTAAATTTAGTTTTCAAACACACCTTGCGTACTCTATTTACTCTTTCACTATGTTTCCAGTTTTTATTGTGTAAAAACTTTAAAAAAATGAGTCAAATGAGCTACCATTATATATATATTTACTTAAATTTCTTAAATATAATCTCTCTGAATTTAAATAATTAAATTCAACTGATGTACCCAACCGACAATTCCCGTGATTTTCCAAAAAGTCATGTGCACCGTTAAGCAAACAGCATCAAGTCTTTTTTTGTCATTACCTCAGCTAACAAAGTCTTCCTTAAACGATTAGCGACGAGACTAACTATTATAATCCTCCACTATTTTAATTACAATTAAATGGGTTAATGGAAGTTTGGAAGACACAAATCACATCACAATCACAAGCATCTTCAATGCTCAATTTTCAACATTAATTAAATTTGAACACAATGGATTAATGTTTAATCTACATGAACTGAATGTTAAAGAATAGGACTTTCATTTGAATTATTAACTCCAATGCATCCATTCAACAACCATACAATTTGTATATGTGGATTTATTAATTTATTATTAAAGTAAAGAGTATATTAAAAAAAACCCACAAATTCTAATAATTATATGCATGATATTATTTTTTGTTGATTCAGTTAATTTTTATTTATATCATCAAATTTATAAAATTATTATTTATTCAATAATTTCTCAGTTACAATATGTATAAGCACACAATAAATATTTTTTTAATCGGTTCAAAATAAAACAACAAAATATCAAAATCGCAAGAACTCAACAAACAAATATCATGAACATAATATTTTACTTTTCAAGACATTATTATTTATATGTTTTTTTAAATTTTAGTTGTAACTCATCAAATAATTCTACTATATTCAAATAAATTCTCAAAATTTTCTTGGATAAATGTAAGTGTGGGATTTTTCCAAGTTTATGAAAAGCTCAAAATTTGTGTTATATAATTATCAAAATGTTGAGTCATCATGTTAGAAAGGATGTGTGAAATTAGAAAGTGAGCTTGACAATGTTAACATTAATTTTTTACACATAAGCATGAAAGAACCCATAATCTAATGCATTAGAGGATAAATTATTCACACATTTTTTATTTAAATGAGATGAATAACTTTTTACTCCTTCAAAAGAATGTATTAGAGATGCTATAGAATATCGTTGTCTTTTACTTTACTCCCGCGTTCGTCGCGGGCATGTACAAATTCCTAGCGGCCCATTAATACTACAAACAAATTCAATATTTTTATCAGATTTGACCTTTGGATTGGATGAAAACGAGGTTACAATATTATTTGTGGAGTAATATATATTTTGTCCTACTCCAACAGTTACAAATTTAACATATTCATCAGTCTCATTTGTCATTTCCAACAAGATATTGCCAAAAACTGTTCAAGTGACCAACACATACATGTGTCATAAGGGCATTGTAGTAATTTCAGAGTGTCATTTTTGTCAATTTATCGTATAAAATGTTGAATATTGACAATTTGTCTAAGAATTTTACATATTATATTCACGTATTAATAATCTTGGCCACAAATTCTGAAACACCAAGACGTGTCACCCGGAGTATTAATTATTATTCTGCCAAAAATAATTTGTACCATTTTTTTCGTTCATGAAACCACCATTAACTATTCATCACATTGGATTATATGTGTTTACACACATTTATTTAAAGGACTCTTGTCTTCTACCAATTTTAAGTGGTGTATTCAATTGAGATTTCAAGTGTGATATTTTAAAAATTTTTAAAATTTAAATTTTTTAAAGATTTTCATATTTTGGAGGAATACTGTTAAATCTTAATTTTGAAGGTGAGATTTGAAGTGAGATTTCATATAAGAATTTTTATTTAGAAATCTCAAAAAATCTTAAAAAATCACAACAATCTTAGTTTTAAATAAGTTAAATAACTCAAGATAGACTTTTGAAAATCTCAATTGAATACCCCAAGACTTTTAAAAATTTTAAAAAATCTTAACAAATCTAAATTGAATACAACAGAATTTCTAAAGTCTTTAGAAATTCCAATTGAATACACCCACAAAAGTTTTTTATGGTAAATTGATAAAATTAAAATATTTGAAAGGTAGAAGTTATCCCTAGTTCTAATAAAGAAAAGAGAAAATTTTCTTTTCTTTCTTTCTTTTTCTTTCTCTAGGATCTTTTCAATTTTCTGAGATGAGATATGATGGAAAGTTATTGAGGGAACTTAACAAAAATTGAAAGAAACATAAATAGTGGTTCAAACTCTGAGGACACCTTAATTTGGCCTTTTATAGTTCAAGCCTCAATAATACTACTAATATTTTTTCTTTTTAAATCTTTTTCAATCCCTAGGTCATAAGGATGTTATATTTGCATAAAGAAAACTGAGCTTAAAATATTTGTGATAGAAAGAAAAAATGAAAATAACCGTGACTCGTTCTATTTATTTAATATTTTTATAGATATTCTTTTATAATAACAACTTATTTAACTAATAAATTCCAACTACCGGGGTTAAAAGTTCTACAAATCACATGCTTTTACTGTTATTTCTGCATAATTTTTTATCCTTTCTTAAAATAGAATAAAGAAAAAATTGCCATTAGTTATTCCCTTTATAGAATTTTTGTCCCTTTATAAAGACTCTAAAACCACTTACATTCTCCCTCTTTGATCCTCTCTCTCCTCTCCAAATATGCAAACCCAAGCAAGCCTTTGTACTAATTACATCCCCCAAGAAAAGGTGAATAAAAATTACTCAAAACTCATACTCTTCCCATTATTATATCCAATTTCTTATTATTTCATTTTATTTTAATCATACCAAAATATGAACACAATGAATTCGAGGTGATTTTCTTTTTATCTTTTGATTTGTTTTATTAATCAGGGCATGGAGGAGCTGAGACAGTCACTAATCCTGAGCATGGAGCTGGAGGACACGAGGGTCAAGGCCCAAGAGGAGGTCAAAGCCCGAGACCACCAAATAGCCCAGCTCAAGAATCTCCTTAGCCGGGCCCTTAAGGAGCGGGACCAGGCCCAATACAAGTGCCACAGGGCCATCCTCGACAAACTCATGCTCCAGAACCAGATCCACCGGCCCAGCCCAATTAAATCCCGCGCCTCCAGCATCGACGACGAGAAAATCGCCTCGCCGCCGCCGCTGCCGGAGAAGGGGAGGCTCCTACAGGCGGTGATGGGCGCCGGCCCGCTGTTACAGACGCTCCTCGTGGCCGGGCCGCTGCCACGGTGGCGCCACCCGCCGCCGCCGCTCGAGACGCACCTAATCCCGCCGGCGGCGGCGGGAATTGGGGACCCGTTTCGGAATGTGGGTGGGTGTAATAATGAGAGGAAGAGAGGGTTTAGTGAGTCGTCTTCATCATCGTCGTCCATGGGATTGAAGTACCAAAGAGTTGTTCCACATTAATTAGTAGTTGACATTGTTATTTATTATTATAATTCATGTCCTTTTTTTTCTTTTTCTTTTTCTTTTTTTTTGGGTGTTTTTTTATTCATCTTCCAAAAAGAAATATTGGATCGATTAGGAATATTGGGAAGGTGATTTGGCAATTTTTTTGTGCAGTGGTTCAAATTTAAAGTTATGATGTTTAGGATGATCCAGCATTTTTTTTTTATTTTTTATTTTTTCCTCTAGTTCTCGAATTTTGTTTTGGTAGCCGAAGTTTTTCACTTAATCAGTTTAGGTACCTAACTAGTACGAATTTCGTGCGATGCACGGGTAAGCGATATTAATTAATACTTATAAATTAAAAATTATATTAAATAATATTTATAAATTTGAACATGGAATCAATATGTAACAATGTACCTATATAATTTATTGAAAATGTCATATAAAATATAAATTGTGCAAAATTACATAAAACTGTCTATGTAAAATTAGTACACATCCCGTGCGTTGTACATAAATGATAATAAACTACATTATATTCATTTCAAAAATATGTGTCATTTCAAAATTTTATTCAGAAATTCGATTTGACTATAACGTGATTCCAAAGCCACTTCTTTTCTTTTTGTCCAAGTCACTCCTAGTGACAAACTCCTATGTTCCTTTTATTACTGTATCTATGGCGAAGTGCATGGTTCACCCGTATTTTGCAAATGAAGAGTATTTTTGTGGAGGATAAGTTTGGTTTTGACAGAATTTTGAAATCATTGAGTTTAGAGATTAGCCAGGATCTTTCAGAAAACGGATTCCTATTCGAAGAGTATGACAAAAGTATTCGGTTATTGGGGAAAAATCAATAAATAATTATTTTGGTAAAATTTTATCATATATTTAAAACCCGATGTGAATAATAAGTATAAATAATGAGACATAATTTTGATTCGACAAAATTATAAATTATAAATATATATTTAATTTTTTATTTATATAAAAAGATGTTATTGTATTTTGCCTAATTCCAAATTTTTGTTCAACCCGATTTTAAGGCAACTAAATAATGAATAAAAAATTTTAAATTTTAAATTTGAAATGAGAACACATTTTCTATGCAATAAGATTTTTCCAAAATAGAGTGATAGATAAGGAACTATGCATTTATGGTGACNCGTTAGTCAATTTAGGTTCAAAGTACTATTAACCATATTTTTATAAAATATACAATGGGAAATGCTTACATGCCCACGATGGACACATGTTAATATGTCCACCGCTTATGCGGCATGTACACATTGCTGATGTATTTTTTTAACATATTAATATCACCAATGTGTGCATGCCACATAAGCAGTGGACATATTAACATGTGTCCACCGTGGGCATGTGAGCATTTCCGATATACTAAGGTTAAATACAAAGATTTTCAAAAGACATTATATATTTGTTATTATTGTATTAATTTTACAAAATTATTACTATATATTATTTTATAATTAGTGTAGATTTCATGTATAATTTTTACAAAATTATTACTATTTCTTATTTTATAATTAGTGTAGATTTCATGTATAAAGTTAAATTTATTTTTATTATATTAAAAAAAATATACGAGCAACTAGGCATGCGCCTGCACCACCGAGGTTGCCGCCTAGATACCGAAGCGTCCGGGTGTCATCTGGTGCCTAGGTTGGCGCCTAACTCGACTTTTGGTGTAGTGTTTATTAGGCACAAGTCTTCCATCATGTGCACAAGTACAACGCAAATAAAATATTACTAGTACGAAACTCATGTACTATACGGGTTGATTGAAAAAAAATATAAAACATAAAATAATAGAAAAAATACATGTTATTGTATAACTATTTCAACTTTTCAAAATATATTAGAAAGATCATGTAATATTCTATAAATATTTCAATGTACTTTTATAGATATTCTAAAAAGATTTAAATAATTTATTTACCATGGTGTTCATCAAAATTTATTTTATTTTTATTTCAACATTTTAAAATATATTAGAAAGATCATGTAATATTCTATTAGTATTTTTATAGATATTCTAAAAAGATATATGTGTCCAATTTATTTTTGTAAAATTATAGTTTTTTTTTTATTTAAACTATATAAAAAAGTTATTGTTTACATTAATTATATAAATAAAATAATATATAAAACTAAATTTTTTATTTTGGTATTTCGTGAATTAAGTCTAAATTTTTTATTATAATATTAAGAAAAAATCCTATTTACACGCATATAAGATAAGAATCCTATTTATTTTGGAGTTGTAGGATTTACACGGCACATAAGAATCCTATTTATTTTGGAGTTGGAGGGATCGTATCAAGCAAAAATCCTATCTATTAAGTAGTTTATTTTAAACAACAAAGCAAAATCCTATTTATTAAGTAGTTTATTTTAAACAATTAGGGAATGTATCCGAACCAAAAGCCGAAGCATGTAATGTTGCCAAATGAGCCTCCGAAGCGTGCGAGACAGCCATTTAGGTTCAGCACGTTTTGAAATTATATTTATTTATTAAGTAGTTTAGTTTAAACAACAAAGCAAAAATCCTATTTATTAAGTAGTTTATTTTAAACAATTAGGGGATGTATCCGAACCAAAAGCCGAAGCATGTAATGTTGCCAAATGAGCTTCCGAAGCGTGCAAGACAGCCATTTAGGTTCAGCACGTTTTAAAATTATATTAAGAGGGGATGAGTTATATGTTTTGATATAATATTTAAAACTATATATAACTTAGGTATGAGATATTGCATTTTATAAATTTGAAAGAAAGTAAAAATGAACAATATGAATATAACTTATTTTACTTGAATATGGATCACAATATTCATTGTATAATTAAATTCAATGAATAAAGTAATTTCTGTAGTTTTAAGAGACTATGTCCAATGATTAGCAGAAAAATATTGAAATTATTATTATATAACAATCATTTATGCAATTTTAAGGGGTATGCTATGACATTAAACCAATTAGTTAAATTTAGTTATTAAAAAAATCACGAGATGAAAAAAAGAGAGTTAATATTGATTTAAAATAAGTAGTTAAAAAAAAGTAATAGTTGTCGTTGAATACATGTTAAAATGTCCGATATATCGGATTTTTTAAAATACACACACACACACACATATATATATATATATATATTATTTTACATAAATTGAAAATTCTGCACTTAGTTTTAATATTTTTACATCATTACAACATTTTAGTCAATTTAGTATTTATTAAATGTGGTTTTATATGTTATTTATGTCATAATGATAAATTCAACTGATATTTATTCCAACTGCAGGAAAAAAATGGTAAAACGGGTTGAGCCGGTTGAACCGTATACAAGTGGCTCGTCCGGTATGATAGTCGGTATAGTATTTAAAACACTATATGAAAGTTACACAAGTGTTAAAAATTATATTGTAAATTTTTTAAGTTATTTGTTATAAAATCAATATATCTTTTTTTTTTTCTGTAATAATAATTTTTTTATATTCTTTCGGTTAATTAATTGGTCATGATACCTTAAAATTATAAAAAATACATTATTAATTCAATTTTATGAAATGAATATAGTGATTCATATGTGGTGAAATAGTGTATACTGATTAGTTTCACTAATGATCAAATTTTTAAAATGTGATATAATTATCTAACTTATAATTTTAATATTATATGTATATATAGATCTTATAACAGTTTACTTCTTCTATCTATCTGTGCATGTGTACACTAGTATTATCTTATTATTTATTACTTATTAGTCACTCATATTTTATTGTTAATAATCAGTAATTACTATGTGATGTATAAAAATTATAAATTACAAATAATATTTTGTGTGTGTGTAAATAACAAATAATTATTAGTGCTATAATCAGGGATGGCCAAACATGTTAAACTAAACCGATTTAATTAACCGGTCAATATATAATGCAGTTTTTCAATATATAATGCAGTTTTTCACATTCATATATTATATATACATATGAATGTGAATTCTTCGTTTTTTTCCATCATGACATAATTTAGTTTTTCCAATTTTCAACCTTTTGCCTTTTCTTCTACGCGTCATCTTCTCCATAGTCATAGATATGTTTTTCTTTTTAAATAATATGATTTGGAATGTGATATGAAATAATAATAATAGTTCAACGTAATTACTACAGCCTATATGTGATCTTTATGTCTTTTATGGTTGTTATTCAACTTTTCAAACCCTGTGTCTCAAAATAAACTACAAATCTTGAAACTTTGAAGATAATTACCTGGCCCCATGAACTTTGTTACTGGTTTGTAAACACCAATTCTGATGTAAAACAACTTAATAGCTATCTAGGCAAAACAATTTATTTATACGATCGACTACAATCATCAATATTTAATTTGTTAAGTAAGAGAAATTAATATTATAGTGTCACATTAAGTTTTGAGGATATAAATCTGAAGGTCTATATGCAGTAAATATTTCGAAGATTAAATTATTATAGAATAATTCCATTAGAAAATAGAAAAAAAATTAAAATTTATATTATAAAATCTTCAGCCTGCTTATGAACATTGGAAAGTAGAATTAGAAAAGACGCCAACTCTTATAGTGGTTAGTACTATAGTGTCATTCATCACTCCAAAAGGAGCTCTGACGTTTTTTAGCAGCCGCATTGACATTGGAATCCTCGTGATATTGCATATTTAATTATTTATATGAAATTACAATGAAAAAAATAAGAATGAATCTAAATTATTGTATATCATATTAATGATTAATATAAAATTAAAATTTAGTCAATCATTAATTGCATCATAGTAAATAAGTATATATATATAGGAGAATGTTACCATTCCGTTACGGGATGGTTCCGTTATATTTTTTAACCGTAGATTATCTATACATTATTAGATTACATGTATATCTACGACTACAAAATACAACGGAACCATCCCGTAACGGGATGTGTGGCATTCCCCATATATATATATATATATATATCCTGGTCAAATGTGTGTATTTGACAACTAAATAACGGCAATCTGGTCATTACCCATTAATTCACTCACCCACCTACTTTCAGTGGGACCCACCACACCAGCTTGTTCCCATACCCCCATCTCTTTGGCTGTATTTGTTTAACAGCTTTTTGCCATCAAAATAGCTTTTTCACTCTTTTAGCTGTTTGACTATTCTTATCATCT